TTACTAAATAATTCAGGAGACATATCATAAGATATCCCATTCAAAAAAATCTTGTTGCATGAGTTGAATACATTGCTCATCAGTTCAACGTTTACTGTGGAACTTCCAGTTCCGTAAGCTGGCTAAAAATAGATAAACAACTCATTCTTTTTTTCAGACCACCCAGTGTTTTATTAGACTGATTTATGTATTGTATGCAGAAATAAATGTCCATTTGAAAACTTATGTTTTTCAAAATCCCTAGTGAATAGTATTAAGCTCAACAAAACAATAAATATTAATCAACTCTCTATAAACCTTCAATTGTATTTTTATTGAACTCATTACAGCCATGGTAGAATGCAATAATGCGGTATGCCAAAACGTTTGTAAGGGGCAAAGACACTTTTACTAAAATGCCTATAACTCTTGAATGGAAAAAGATATTTTCGCCAAACTCACCAAAATGCAGAGTTTTGCCACTTGGTGGCGCTATAACAGGAAAAATATAAAATGGCTATAACTACGCACTCGTTGGTCCGATTGGCTTGAAAATTGGTGTGCCATGTCTTTATCTAAAGTGCCACAAGTGTCTGTGAGGACATTTACGTATCTCCGGGGCCATTTACACGACAACGTTTTCAGCCAAAAACGGTAATTTTTTTGTGCGTTTTGCCTGTTCATTTACACGACAACAGCGTTTTGGGGACTGAAAATGCATATTAGGTTTATTAGTACATGTTAGGTTTTTTTTTGTTTGTAGTAGGTGTTAGGTATGTAGACATGCGCAGTACGTGCCGATTTTAAAGGCAAGCGCGGACAAACATACACAACAATGGTGGAGTATATAGTACTGTTGTTGCTGCTCAAGAGTTTGCTAACGCTTCTTCAGTAAAGTGTGGATTTACTATGCCAATATTACAAGTGCAAGTTTTTGAAAACGCCACCGTTATCGTTTCCGTGTAAACACCCAGTGCGGGCATCTTTGATAACAGTGACGTCATGCGCGTGCGTAGTACATGTTAGGTTTTTTTTGTTTGTAGTAGGTGTTAGGTATGTAGACATGCGCAGTACGTGCCGATTTTAAAGGCAAGTGCGGACAAACATACACAACAATGGTGGAGTATATAGTACTGTTGTTGCTGCTTAAGAGTTTGCTAACGCTTCTTCAGTAAAGTGTGGATTTACTATGCCAATATTACAACCAACAGCGGAGAAATATCATATTCATCATATACAACATATAATCGTCACTTCCCTACAGGTACTATTTACTAACAAGGTGACAGCGCCATCTACTGGCCTGGCATACGTAATACAGCGTTTTCGCGGATATGTGTAAACGCGAATCGTTTTGAAAACGTTGTGTATACGTGAAACTTTTTAAAAACACAAGGGAAAACATTTTCAGTTTTTGACTACATCGTTGTCGTGTAAACATCCTCAAACAACACGGATGTTATCGGCCAATCAACTTTGAGCACCTAATAGACGAGGTTAAGAGAGGCCAACTGGAACAAAACTCGATAGGCATGTTCAATCCATGGCCCTAAAGGTCTGTAAGAATTTTGAAAGACCGGCCACTAGGTGGTGCTAATGAGTTTTACACCTCTGTAATCACATGGTTTCACACATCCACACAATATTCATATAATTTGATAGATCTTCTCATACTGAGCAACCTTGCCTCAAGAACCACTGCTGTCAATCAAATAGTTCGTTAAAATATTCTCGATTATGTAAAAAACCTACTTTTGTGAACTAGTCCAAGGTTTTTTCACTCAATCTCAATAAAACCACTGCAGCACGATTCTCTGGACTCTTTAGATCAATAATTCTCTTTGGGTAGCTATAACAGGGTTGTTTATCCGAATATACCCAAAAGCCTATACATCTTAAATGAAAGCACTTGAACCCTGATAATTGCTGCTTGCAGCTATATATATACATTTATGATTATTAAATGTGTACACTTACTAAATAATTCAGGAGACATATCATAAGATATCCCATTCAAAAAAATCTTGTTGCATGAGTTGAATACATTGCTCATCAGTTCAACGTTTACTGTGGAACTTCCAGTTCCGTAAGCTGGCTAAAAATAGATAAACAACTCATTCTTTTTTTCAGACCACCCAGTGTTTTATTAGACTGATTTATGTATTGTATGCAGAAATAAATGTCCATTTGAAAACTTATGTTTTTCAAAATCCCTAGTGAATAGTATTAAGCTCAACAAAACAATAAATATTAATCAACTCTCTATAAACCTTCAATTGTATTTTTATTGAACTCATTACAGCCATGGTAGAATGCAATAATGCATCAATATGAATATTTAAACACACAACTCTGTACAGTCAACTTTTAAGCGGCGCTTACATGTTAAAAACATGTTAGTAAAGCCTATAGGAAGTAATAGTGAGTTGTCAGCAAGATGCCATCTTTCTTCTCGTGGCGCCTGATCTCCATCCATGCCCTGTTCCCCGAATAGTGGGCTGCTATGAGATAAGCACTGACAGGCATCCTGCAGGCAAAAACACAGAGTTGATAATGCAGCAGATAACACAAAGAGACACAACAGTCAGACATGCGCTACATAAACTGCAGCTCCAGCCTCAGGATGCAGGAATATTTCGAATAGCAGGGATTGCTTGTGTTTTGGGATTTAGCAGGGATTTTGCTTGTGAAACACTGACGGAGGACTGGGAGAGCAGATGGTTGGTAACGCTTGTGTTAGTAGAGAATCACACAGCCCAGCAAACACAGAGCACTGACCACCAGCACACTCACATCCCTCAGCCTTTATTTGCACTGCTGTAACACCATTATTTACACGGGACGCACCCGAAACTACTGGGCTGACATCAGATTGATCAAAAGCAATGACATCAAATCAAGTGATGGGGGCAACAGGAAATGATGCAATAGAAAATACCAGCCAAATACCAAGCATTTTACCATTAAAACACACCATTGCACCGTTCTGAAAAAATAAGAGTTACTTACCCTCGCACATTATTCCAAACTTGTATAATTTTTTTCTTCTGCTGAACACAAAGGAAGAGATTTTGAACGGTTTCATCCATACAGTGAAAGTCAATGATTACATATTAGTTTATTCTTTTTTTTCCCTTGTAAATTTTCCTTTTAAAAAATCCTACTGTGTGCCATACCATTTAGCACCTCTCAAGCAATTAGACCATGTATGAAACAAATATTTATACAAGTTACTAAACACAGTTATCATCATCATCATCATCATAACCACTGACCCTCAGTAACTGTTGATTTAATGTAATGTTTAATGCATTTTATGATGTTGGTATCAAAAATAGAATGCATTTCTTTCTCATTGCTTTTTTATATCCATATGATACGTTTAAAACATAATAAAAAAAGTAATCCAAAAACTAGTCAGAATACTAACTACAGTTTTCATCACGTAATCCGTAATCACGGACTATAATTTGTAAGTAATCTGCCCAGTTTTAACAACAGTGCAGTGAAGCTTAAACACCAAATGCCTAATTTTTAAGGTCAGGGTTTTTAACACGTACATTGTTTATCAGCGTCCATAAAATGAGTTTTCTTCGAACTTTAAATGATATACCAAGTAACAAAGTCATGCCTAGATCCTGTGGATGATTTTGCATTTTACAGTTTCAGACATGTGATGTGGTGAATGAATGGTGGCACAGAAACTCAAACACACAGGAAGTCATAGACAGAGGGGCAGGGAGCTGACTTCCATTGCTTTGAAAGAAACTATTGTATTGCTAATGCAGCCAACCACAAACTACTAAAACTACTCTAAACGTAACAATGAGGATCACACACACAACAGATTCGAGCTGAAACACGCACTTCTTATATTGCTTGATAAAGCTTTAATTTCTCTGTAATGGCACAGTTTCCAGCTGTGGATTACGCATTCAGCATCAAGAGTACAGTACACAACATCTACAAAATAACACAAAAGTTCAAAAACTGAAGTCTGTCCAACCATACTTTTACACTGCAGAAAAAAAAACAACAAAAAAAAAAATGTACAACTTGATAAATTAAGCCTTAGGAAGCAGTGTATGCAACGGATATCAACCAAACTTCATAAATAAACTGTACATATTATTTTAAAACAAATTAAAAGCTTTTTTTCTTACTTTTTGTCAACTTTACAGCACATCAAATAAAAGCGGTGGATCACAACTAGACTTTTTTTCTACTCGGACTGATGACCGTATGGTAAACATGTAGTAGTAGTTTCTCTCGGTCTCTTTGAGTCCAAGGCTGTAGTAAAGAAAGATCATTTAAAAGAGTGAAATGTCGCAACTGTAAAGTACTAGCACAGGATATGACACTTAAACTCAAACTGGCTTTGTCTCGAGATATTTTGAGACTGTTTAGGCAGCTCACTATCATATTGTTTCAGATCCTGTAAATGCGGCCCAGTTTCCAATTTCTCAACCGTTCTGCGTTACTTGTTTTAAGTAAATGCACATTTTCTCACATCCACATGGCACCACACAGGTCACCAGTCTTTCACAAAACATGTTAATCCGACAAACATACAACTGTACACTCACGGAAAAAAAAAAAGTCCAGTTCCCCACAGAACGTTACGATAATGCAATCCTTTCAGAATTGACTTATCAAAAAAGGCAATATTTCTGCATTCAGCAGCATTCTCTCACAGCCACACGAAGAGGGGAAAAGTCTCAATGGGAAATTTACAGTGCATTCGTAGACTTTTCGTAAATGAGGTGGTTTCTTTTTGACACTATTTCACATATATTTAATAAGCAGATACGACTGAAAGTCAAAAGAGAGGAACTTGAAGAACAGTTGCAGAAAATGCCAGCTTTCCCATTCCCTAAAGTTTCTACGGTGGTGTTTCAGGCGTTACGATAGACGATGAAAAAACGTTATCGTCACATGTTCATGCGAAGGTACATTCGGTTTTATCAATGGTGCAGAACTACATCACATCGGGCCTTATTCAAAAGCACAGTTGCAGAAAATGCCAGCTTTCCCATTCCCTAAAGTTTCTACGGTGGTGTTTCAGGCGTTACGATAGACGATGAAAAAACGTTATCGTCACATGTTCATGCGAAGGTACATTCGGTTTGATCAATGGTGCAGAACTACATCACATCGGGCCTTATTCAAAAGCAGAATTAATTTCTTAGTCATTCATAAAACCGTTTTTAAGTTATGCCGAGACCATTATTATATAATTGTAGCACAGAATTCATGCGATCGTTTATGCAAGAATGGTTTGAACTAATTATTCAATCTATATTATGCAAGAATTGATTAAATTATTCAATTCAGTGCAACGGTTTACTAAAGAATTATTGGAATAATTCGCAAAACCTTGTTTGCATAAACTGACACACCAAACTGAATAATAAAACCAAAATTGTTACCTTCAATTGAATAATTTGTAAAAACCAATTCCAATTTACAGAAGAATAGTTTTACCAGTTATTCAATGTAACTGGTTTCACATGTAGCTTACGTAAGAATGATTTCACAAAAACTCTGTTCGTGTTTTATGAATGAGGCCCACTGAGGTATGATCAATGCGTAACGGTCAACTAAATCTGAAATGTTAATTATACCACAAATGGACACAGAAATGGGTTTGGAAGCTTGAGTTCGTTTCACAGCCTGAATAGAGTAAAACTAATAATGTATATGATTATTGCTAATTGATTGATCCCCAACTGTTAATACTTCAACTGCCATGTTACGAACAAATGGCATTCATTCCGTGGCCTCATGCACAAAACACAGTTTATTTCCAATAGTTAGCCCAAAGCGTTCAGTAGAACAAAATCAGATGTATTCAAATGAGAAGTAATAAACCAACACCAGAACAAACACACAAACAATGGAGGGTTGGCATTGGGCTAAAACAGTGTTTAGTACTTCCTAAATGGCAGCTGATGGAATATGAAGACACATGCACACGGCTTTTTTTCTGAATCACATATTATGGTTTTAAAATAACAACAAGGCTTGAACAGTTCAGGTGAACGAGTAGGTTATCTGTTAAACAATACTGCCAGTGCTGGCATGGGTTGCTCACGATCAGCGGTATGATTTATGAACGAATAGCAGCAAGAGTCAAGAAATGAGGAAAATGCAGAAAAAGCGGTTTAACAACAAACTGGTAGCAGTACAAAACAAAAAAAATAAGCAGTTCCTCGAGATACAACCGTGGAAAAAAAGGGGAAGATGGAGAAGAATGTCAGTTGTTTCGTGAATACTGTTTGACTGTAAGAGTATTTATGTTAATGGCGAACGAGTAGAGTGCGACTGTCATATTCTGAAATGCATCAAAGTGTAAACGCAAAGGTTTATATAAAATTGAACACTCACTCATGCCAAATTGTTTAAAAAAAAATGAGTACACTTTAACTTCTAAAATGCTTGACGTCAAGAGAATTTGGTTTAAGGGCTAACTGAAATGACATCGGATGAAATGTTTGGACAATTTATGCACTTACATCCAGTCAAACATCAAGAAAATACTGACAGCTTCTCAAACAAACAGCAGCAGGGCAGGAAGTGTGTTTTAGGAAACCCTGATCCTGGTACGAGAGCAACTACTGCAGAGAACGAAGCACGGGAAGATTAAGACCTTGAAGAAAAGCGTTAAAGATGCCAAGCGTTATAGATGCTATTATAACAATAGAACCGCTTGCTCTTCAAATGGCACTAAATTTCATAAGATATGCGATTAAATCTGCAGATATCATGTTGAGGAGTAAACCTCATGCTCGAATACTGCAGGGAGAATGCAAAGACTGTACAAGAGTCGTCGACAGTATGCCACAATTCTCTATGTATAACTTCTACCGAAGATATTGCTCTGTCCAGTAAACATAAAATGGACCTGAGTGCATCCGTTTCGAGCATTCAGAAGTCCAAAAATGTATCAAATATGGCAAGAGTGCTGTATGTTGAGAGCAACACTGTGATAAGCAAGTGATCCATTCATGCGCTAGCGCCATTTTAAAAGGCTTCAGTCATTCTCCACCCCACTATTATCGTTAAAAACTGTACTGTTCATCCAACTCATTATAAATGTCACGAAATACAGAGCTGTTCAACTACCACTAAACATGTTGCAGGGACCTTTAAAAAAAAAAAGAAAAGAAAAAAAAGTTACATTTAGATACGTTTTTATCAGGGTTACTGATGCCCGCTGAAGTGCCGCCTCCTCGCCAGACATAGTTTCCACACAAGTTCTCTTCTTCAAAACTTTTGGCTCATCTAGAACGAGGTCTCAATTGTCAAGAGACCGCACAGGAAAACAAAAAAAGCACCAAGGACATAAATAATCTATTTGCTAAAGTCACAGGTTAAAAACTATCAGAAGTTGGAATAAAACCCAAAACAAAAAAAAGTTGCAGTTCGTTTGTCCATCTGCGCCCACATCTTCTCAGTTCTGTGTCCATGTACACATCAGTGCATAGTCCCAGGCACACGGTGCCATTTAAACATCCAAGATTTCCTCTGCCGTACCTCCGCAACGCAATCGGTAGCGTCCCGCCCTCCAGCTGATGGTGGGGTCCCAAAGAGCGGACAAGAAAATCTGAATTGTCATGGACTCCCTGATGAACCAGGCCACTGCGTAGTCCAGCTTGGAGAAGGATGGAGGGCCGCCCTTTGAGGAAAAAAGGAGAATTACAACAAGAACCGACAAATGCTACAGTTCAAGATAAAATGGCTTTAAGAAGCCAAGAAGAGTTGAACATGAAAACCATCTCTTCATGAAATTTCCTCAGAGAGTTGATTGGATGTCAAACAAGAAATCTTTCATTTCTGAGTAGAATGAGGTTGGGATTGGAATTCAACCCGGAAACAATTGAGCAAGGCTCCATTGGGAATTGAATGGATTGTCAAAAATGGTCCAGAAAGGAGCCAGAGCTTAAGTTTGGGTAACACTTTAGTTTAGGGACCAACTCTCACTATTAACTAGTTGCTTATTAGCATGCCTATTAGTAACATACTGGCTGTTTATTAGTACGTATAAAGCACTTATTCTGCACCTAATACCTAAACTTAACTATTAATAAGCAGCAAATTAAGAATCAAAAGTCGTAGTTAATGGTTTGTTAATAGCGAGAATTGGACCTTAAAATAAAGTGTAAATTTGGCTGTGTATTGTGTCTCACCTGTATTCCTCTCAGCTGGATGTAATCCGAAATGAACCAGGCCAGGCAATGGCACAGGAAAAACACCATGATGTCCCAGCGAAACACATGGTGGGCGGCCCAGCCGATGAGAAGACTGGCCACAAAGCACTCAGAGATGGGCTCGATGATGGTGGCCGGCAGCATGTTGATTCTCAGCTTGGCCCATCTAGCAAGAGCAGATAACAATGAGATGAGCTCAGCAGTTTTTCTGCACCACAAAATGGGATCTAGTACCATCTAAAGCCACAAAAACAACATCATGTGTTACAGTTGGATAGCTTATTCTGACAAACATATCAAAATCTATTCAAGATTTGCTTCTCCGTATTATGATGCAATTTAAAAGACAGGAATCCATCAGCAACGCTATAAGAAAATTGCGAACAGCAACAAAAATAACCCAGTCCCATCACTGCGCCAGAGGTGGCCCCATCAGGAAAACAGATTGGTTTCACTAGAGGACATAAAAAAAGCTGATTGAACAACCGGCGTACCTGATCATGCGAGACTGGAATTGTGCAATGGAGTACGAGCCTGAATTCTGCATGGCTACCTGCGTTGCCATGGAAAATTTCCATCCTCTGCAAGAGAAACACCACATCATTGCACTGGCAAATAAAGGACATTTTAGCCGAGGCTGAGAGATACGATTCTGAACACACATTAAAGGAATATTTTCATTAAAAACTGTCAAGCTATAAATAGACATATTCAATTAAATTTGTGCATACAAATAACTGAATGGCATACTAAATGCTACTGTATGACTTCAAATGATTTGATAAGGAAAAGATCAAAACTGAAACAGGTATTCATTAAAAACCTCGATATCTTATAACTTAATATACATGGAAGCGAATTAGATTTCACACGATTAACTGAAATTAATTTTTTTTGGCGTTAGTCACACATTAAGTCTATTGCATGGCTTAATACCTTGAATATAACAGTTTGTATGGACCACTTTTATGATACATTTAATGTGTTTTGGAAATTGTTGACAGTGTTGTTATAATTAAACTAAGACTAAAACCATTAAAAAATTTTATTTGAAAAAAATAAATGTTAACAGAAAGCAAAATAAAAATTCAGCTAGTTGTCAAAGCAACATTTTTAAATGTTGCTTAGTTTAGGCCAAGTGCTAAAATAAAGAAAATAGCCTAAAACTCGTAAATAAAATGACAAAAAACTGTACAGACATTAAAAAATTACTAAAACTTTAAACCTAAAGTGAAAACAAAAATCTAAAAAACTAACTAAAACACTGATCATTGCAGCTTGACAGCCTTCACTTTCATTGTATGGAAAAGAGCAGCGTGAACATTCTGCTAAACATCTTTCGTTTCACAGAAGAAAGTAAGTCAGTTTTGGAACTTCATGAGGGTGAGTGAATAACAGAATTATAGTTTATTTCTTTCTTTTAAAGACGATGAAAAAATATAACCTATCAAAAGCCATTTTCACTGTACGGATATTTAATGAGTCTGGCAAACCTGTCTGCGATGGCCTTGGCCATGAAGTAATCTTCAGCGATGTACTGGGCAAATGCAATCAGCCCGCCCGCTTGGTCCAGGATGTCCTTCCTCATGAGACACGACATCCCTGTGACGCACTTGATTCCCGTTACATTGGCTGAGATGTAGGAACGAGGATGTGACGTTCCAAAATAAACCTGCAGGATTTCACATGGGACAATGTTTACACTTCATATAATTCATCTCGGAAGATTTGATGTATTTACTATCGCATTACGCTTGTAAACACTTCTGACGATTATTTATTAGCAGAGTTTTCAATTTAACATGCTAATACATTGCCTTCCAAGTAGGGCTGTGCAAAAAAATCTAATGCGATTTTCATGCTCATCTCGTCAGTAAAGCCGGTTCTGTGATTAGTAGTAAATCTCCAGCACGTGCTTTCAGATGGAGCGGCATTTACTACACAGAGCCGTAGTTCGCTGACAAGCTACGCAAAATCGCATTCAAAATCGGCAATGAATCGCATGCGAACTCCGCTTGTCAGCGAACTACGGCTCTGTGTAGTTCGCTGTGATGCCACTCCATCTGAAAGCACGTGCTGGAGATTTACTACTAATCACAGAACCGGCTTTACTGACGAGATGCGCATGAAAATCTCATTTGATTTTTTGCACAGCCCTACTTCTAAGTCTGTTTTTGTAACGTCTATAGCTCATTCGTCACAACAATGTAACATTTATTTGATTGAGAGACCATTAGTGATTAGGTTTTACTTGGCGCTTACAAAAACGTCATAAACCAATATTGTCAGCAGTTAATGAATTTTAATATTGTACTGATTTGCCAAAAGAGCTTTAAAGTTCAGAGGAACAAAGGAACTACAACATATGGTGTCCCATTTCAAGTCTCTACTAGCAACAGAACCACAACTCGTCAGTTTTATTGCAGTGTGACAGGACAGAACAGCACTTCTTCCAATACATAATAGCAATGACGTGTTCATGAGCATCTAATAAAACCAAAGCTTTCCCGAGCCAAATCCAGACGACCAACACGGTCCCGACAAAGAATTCAGAAGGTCACTAGTGAAGGCTGCTGACCTGCTCCAATGTGGCGGCAAATCCTTGTCTGTCTGCCACGTAAGGAAGACCGTGAACCAGTCCCACCTTCTCCGTCATCTGATTGGCCATATCAGTGAGAGTGTCTGGCTTCACTGTTGATATTAGATCATAGTTGTTCAGAGGTGAATCTCATGAAAACATGTCCTGGTCATGTTATTCTTTTTACAGGAAAAAAGTCATAATAAAGAATTGTATTCACTGAAACACTGAGATGTGATAGATTTAAAGCAGTCGGTTTTAGATGGTAATGTGGGCGAACTCACCTCGAATGCCACTGTCACAGATCCAGACGAGTTCGTACCTTGCCCCTTCATAAGCGGGCATGAGGTTATTTATTTTTGGATTGATACCAACTTTCTTACCTCCTAGAACAAGATAAAGAGAAAAAAATTTCAGTAACTACCATTAGGGCTGTAAATGATTGCATTATAGCATCATAAAATCTGGCCATTTTGAAAGAAACAAGTGTGGTTGTCAATTTAATTGTGTTTTTGTTTTGTCAGTTACAGAGGTTTCCGTGAATAATAATATCTCCGATATTAAAGTATATTAGAAAACATCTGAAATCTAAAAATATTTCTCTTTTGGTCTTATAACGGGGACTACATTCTATGTAAGCTGACTGATATCCAGTCTACAATAGTGATAAAATAATGATCATTTCTATGCATTTTTAATACAATCCCCATCCCAGGTCTAGATCAGTTCAGCCATGTTCTCATCTCACACCATATCAGTGATATTTTAATATTACTTGTATACTATTATAGTATTTATTAATATTTTGAAATAGATTTTATATATTTTTTATTTTGCCATGTGATTTTTCCATTTTTATTAGTTTGTTTTATTTTTTTTATATTTCAATTTAGCTTTAATTTATTTTTAATTCAGTTTTAGTACTTCAGCATAATATATTTCCGTTAATTGCCAAGGCAACATTTCTAATCTTATTTTTTAAATCTATTAATTCTACTTATTTCAATTAACAAAAACTATTTTAATATTTTTAGTTAACAAAATAACAATTAATCCATATTAGCCAAAAATGAAATATGCAAACGTGAACCTGAAGTAAATTATGCTCATACCGTTCCACTTCAAATTACAATAAAAACTATGACTGGAAATTCTAAATTCACATTGACAGAAGTCATATTATTATTATTATTATTATTTTGATTTGAAATTAAAATGAAAATAAAAAATATTTTATAAGATGAATTTTAGATTAATGCAGTATGTTTGATTAAAGAATTTGACTTTAAATTAAAATGCACATTGACAGAAGTCATATTTAAAAATATAATAACAAAAATTTAAAAAATGAAATATTAGATTGATCAAGCAATTACATAAATTGTAACAGGTCTAGCGTCCATCAATAAAGCAGACTCTCTTTAAATCCTCTTTATGGATGGGATGTTTATTTGTGGACCGAAGATCATATGGCGCAGGGCCTCTGAGAGCACTAATGCATTTCACAAAGCACGCTTTACCGGCGTCTGATTGGCTGGTGGGGTAAACGACTCGGAGATGTTTAAAGCAACACAACCTCGCAGACGTTACATGTTTTCTAACATGGCTTCAGCTTGATACAAAGCAGCGGATGACATCTCTAGGACGGCCCGTCTCCCCTGACTGTTTGTGCCGTAACAGACTAGCTGAAGGCAGCGGGGCGGATCACACGACCCCAGAGAGACACCCGCTCCAGTCACCAGCTGTTCCTAATGAGCAAGATTCAATATCCACTCCAAGAGCTACATTTGCAAATACACAGAGGAGTTGTGGCGCACACGCGGGTCTCGGCGTTCCTCTTAAGGGGCTCCTCAGAGACCCTGCCATTTCCCTGCACACTACTAAACAAAACTGTCAAAGACAGCGGAAGCCTCGAGGGACGAGAGATGCTCCTCAGCACAACACTGCCTGAGCTTTCTGTACTATTGGCTCCATTATACATGGAAAGCGTGAGATTATCATCAAATACTTACCTATAAATAACCTGGCGTCAACATTCGGATATTTGCCCAGCAGCTTTTTACAAACATCAATGGCTGGATCGTCATGGTCTTGGACACACAGCAGAATTTCATACTGTGGAAAAAGACAGAAACAATTTTGAGCACCTCAAGTAATTATGGCCCAATGATACACTTAGAGGCACACAGTTCATAAACGCTGGCTGCTATTATGTGAATATATTGTAAAATGTAATTTATTCCTGTGATGCAAAGCTGAATTTGCAGCATCATTACTCCAGTCTTCATTAGCTATGTTTCCATCATCCTATTTTAATGCGCATTTTAAAGTATCGCATAAGAAACGAGTGATGGAAACGCCAAATTTCGAATAAAAATCCCCTTAATTCGCAAAAAGTTTATGCTCGCTTGGTGGTTTTTGACTTGTGCGAAAAAGGGTTGATGTGAACATTGGGAGATGGAAATGCATTTTGCGAATAAATTCCTCCAAGCGTATCAAAAAAGTAATGTGACTTTGCGCTATGAGATGGCAAAACCTGACTAACCAGCGGACCGATCTCGTTCACAGCATCTATACACTGTAAAAAATGACCGTGAATTTAACGGTAAAAGACTGTAAAAATGCTACAGTAAAAACCTGTTAAATGGTTAATGGTAAATTCCCCTACTATATACGGTGAAAAACTGTATTGGACATTACATGTATTGGACATTAATTTTACGGTAGTATACCGTTTTTGGAAGTGAAAAAGGCCGTATAATTTACAGTGAATAACCGTAAATTGACATTCCCAGAATTCCCTGCGTTACACTTCAAATTTGATGTTTTTTTGTTGAAATAACTATGTTTCTTCTTAGTTTTTTCTTATCAGTTTTGTATATTAGGGTTGTGTGTTACACCTAATGTTGTTAAATGAATGTTTATTGCATTATTTCAGTTTCATGTGTGTTACCATGATGGTGTTTAGTGTTTGTGTGAATGACACGGTGCACCTTCTATATATGTTATTATTTAAAAGCTGCTTGTGATGGGCTTTGGTTCATCATGTGACTTTCTCATCATCACCTGCATTTGGTGGTTATCAGTGTATTACAAAAGTACAAAACAGATTTCAGTGCTTCAATAGGTTGGTATATAATAACATTATCAGTTAATGAAATTACGGTATTTAACTGTAAATTTAAGTTAAAACCGTAAAACCTACAACGTTGCTACTGTATTTTTTTTATGGTAAAATTTCGGCAACCACAGCTGCCGGTTTTTTACCGTAGATTTTACGGATTTTTTTTTACAGTGTATGTTGTTATGGTCATTCGGAAATGCACGTATTTGTCAAAATGTCAAAGTATTTCTGTATAATTGTCTTACATGACTGCGTTCCCAAACAGCAGCATCCACCTCAAAAAGCATTGACAGCATTTATCGTGTTTCGTCTGCTCGCTCCGAGGCGCAAGTAATTTATTATATGTGAAAATTATTATATTTTAGTATATTCTTAGTGATTTATAGTGCTAGTTTATCAGGACGTGACGATTTTGTTCTCTTTGACTTGTTGGATGGAAACGATGATTGTTCGCAAATGTTTTATGCGATTTCAATTTTGCGCATAAGTTAAATTCGCAACTTTGGATGGAAACCAGGCTATTGATTATTATCAATGCTGAAAACTGTGATAAATGTATTTACAATTTTGATCAATTGAATGTGTCCTTGCTGAATAAAAGTGTTAATTTCTTTCAAAAAAAGTAGTAAAAGTAGTATACATTAAAGTCTTAAAGATATATTAACAAATGGTAAGATGGTGAAAAAACAAAATAATTACAATCAATTGTTAATTAAAAGAAAATGAATAATAAGAGTGACTATTTGCACTGAGATTCAGTAGCTGTTTCTGGGTTAACTAGTTACAGCTTGGTCATTAACTTTCTACTGTGTGAAGTAGTACGCTATAAAAGTTTCATATTAACAGCATTATCTGCCGCTACATGTTTGATACTGGATAAGTATCATTTCAAGGCATTTTGGTGACCATTATCTAGCTGACTGAAAGTAGCGCGAGCATGCAAATATCCATACATGTCAGGGTGCAGTTGCAGAATGTGGGAAAAGAGGGGTAATGTGTGTTGCCCCTTTAATCTTCTAGACGATATTAGGTCATGCATTACTAGGTATGCACTAAGCTAAATACAGTTTTTTTTCTTCTTCATGTCAAAGTCATTTTTCTTCATGGCAGGTACATTCAGGATTTAAGAAAATGCAATTAATGTGCAGCAAAAAAATTATATAATATCTAACATAATATTATGATATGTATTATGTAATAATATATAATAATTATTATTAAACAGATTTTTTTTTGTGCAAATCAATTACACTGTACATTGTTCACATATTCACCAGATGATACAAATGCTTCTCGTTGCACATACAACTTGAATACACCTTTTATATGATGAATGTGTTTATGAATATTTTTTAATTTCTCAATTAATCCATTCAGATATTTTTGAGGTCTGAAGTCAACAAATATCTTGCCATTATAATAATAAAAAAGGCTCATTAAAAAGAATTTTTATGAAATAAAAAACTGACAAGTGTTTTGACAATTTATTTCAAGAAAAACATGCAGTGAAGCAGTTAAAATATGAAAAATATTTTATCGTCTACATCAGTCATGTGGTGCACGTGTAGAGACTGTGTATCAAAAATTGATAATCTCAAAAAATATGAGATAAATTGACATGGCAAAGTTAGTTCAGGCTGTCATAACGTCATATGGTGTGACTCTTAAACGTATAAAATAAGTAACTTACTAAATAACAATTTATATACAAAAAATTATATAAAAATTTTTTTTTTTACAAAAATCTAACGAAAAGTTTACACTCATATGCCAGTTGGTATAACCAATACTTTTAAGCCATTAAATACAGATGCTTCCTTCTCATTTCATAATTTCTCCTCAACCAAAGGACAGATTCATAAAAAAAGTGGCACAACTTTCCCATACGCTCACTATTTAGTCCATAATCTAAAAAGAATAGACTAATGAAACACCCAAAATAGTAACAGACACTGGGGTGCAAACAGCATCTGCCAAAAATATAACTAAAGAAAACAAAAAAATGCATCAAGGAGCTGAATATGTCCCCAATAAAGCATCAGAAAACTCATAGGATCCACAAAGCTGCTCTGGATTTTCTATTGATCTGAGCTGACAGCACTGAACTTCCAGCACTCGACTGAATTGAGCGGCAAAGAAAGCGTGGCAGGCCACATAACAAAAGCTTTCAGGGAAGGCAGTTTGAGGCTTGGAGTCGCACCAGGGCCAAAGTGCGAAAGAACAGGCCTGCGCTCTGACAAGAGACACCCGTCCCCCTCCAGCCACCTCATAATACTCCACAGCCACCATGTTGCCATGGCTATGGCACGGGACACTGGAGCCGAAAGACAAAGGGCCTTTTCTGTGCTCTCACAGATGCGGGTATGCGACAGTAACCCCGAGCGGGTAATAGTGCTGCGCTGAAAAACCGGGAGCCTCTCATTCAATCATTTATAGACGCGCACGGGAGCAACCCCTCCAATTTACATCCAGCGCAAGAAATCAGGAGCGCCTCTATTGAACTGTGCCTAGATCAGCCCGTCCCAAATGAGGGAGCGTCAGAGACTAAACATGAGGTTGTGAAATAATTAGATGAATACTGACGTCAGAGAGAGGTGAAATGGAAAGCAAGGGGAAATCCAAGTGTGCAACATTCATCTTAGATCTCGTTACATGTGTGTGTCGAAAACAGCAAAAGAGAAGTGCTCGTGTATAGGGTGTTAATAAATCCAGCTTCACCTCCAGAAGGGAGTATACGTTTTTTGTTTGTTGAATTTTGCAAATCGCCTTTCCTAATAATGTGCTAGTTAGCAAGTTTCACGATGAATGCGGCTGAAGTTAAGAGTCTCTCGGAGAACTGCGCGTCACCCCACGGAAGAGAGGGGCGGTGTCAGCAGAGCTCATTAGCATTTAAAGGGAAATGCACCATAACGGCTTGCTGTGAACAGAGCTGTTTTTGACAGGTTCAAAGGGTGTTGTTTTACACCACCATTGAGAAATTTTAACCAAAGTATGTTATAGACTTTTCATTAAGACCCTAAAGAATCATATCAACTTGTGGAAAATGGGCATCTGGGACCAATTCTCACTATTAACTACTTGCTTATTAGTATGCCTATTATTAACATATTGGCTGTTTATTAGTAGAGGTGGAACAATATATCGATATGGCGATATTTCGTTGTCCTTCTCCATGTGATACGAGAATCGATATCTGGTGCCAAATATCGTTATTTTAATTACTACAATAAGGTGCTCTAAATAGATTTCCCTGCTCCCAGCGTCTAAAAATGTGACCGCGCCATTTCCACCTTCTTTCCAAAGCGCTCTGAGCAACCATGAACCGCGTTCTCTATGAAGATGGGGAAGCACGAGGAACCGAAGGATATATATATGTATTTATGGAGATTAGGGGTGGGGGTAAAAAATCGATACAAAATCGATGAATGTGCATTCCGCTCGTGTACCGCTCATGTTCACCGGAAAATTAGTGAGCCTTTAAATTAGTTTGGGCAAATGAGGATGAGGTTAAACTAATGCATGTCCACCCATAGATAAACACTTTTTTTTTTAAAATAACAAGTGTACGGTTACTGCACTGCTAAACAATTACTGAACTGCTAAACTGACAAATGTCACAAAGTTGTATTGTGGCAACGAATTTCACATTTCCGATTGCCACAACATTGCCATGACAAAAGTTTGGTCATCAAATTACACTGCAATTACATAACTCTGATATCCTTTGGTTAGCTCGGTTACAGTCTTATAACCAAACACAAAAGTGGTAATAAAAGACAGAAGACCAATGTTTCTAAAGTAAATGGAGTAATAACACCAAAAAAGGTACGGGTCACCTACAGCCATTTTCCTGACCTCTGCTGTCTGTTATAATCAGTGTTTCTCGCTTTCAAAACCCCAAAGCAGATGTCCCTCCCAGCACTACTAATTTAGAGGTCCGGGCATCTATTCCAGGAACCCTAATTACCAAAAAAAACACTATTATTTCCGG